GGTCTACAGAGCTAGTTCCAGGACAGGCTCCAAAAGCTACAGAGAAACCCTGTCTTAAAAAAGAGAGAGAGAGAGAGAGAGAGAAAGAATGAATGAATGAATGGAGGGAGGAAGGAAGGAAGGAAGGGAAACAGAAAGACCAGACAAATCATGAAGAGCAAGCCATTACCCAGTGTTCCACCATGGCTTCGACTTCAGGTTTTTTTTTTTTTGTTTGTTTGGTTTTTTTGAGACAAGTTTCTCTGTGTAGTCCTGGCTGTCCTGAAACTCACCTTGTAGGCTGGTCTTGAACTCAGAGATCTGCCTGCCTCTGCCTCCCTAATGCTTAGATCAAAGGCATGTGTCACTACCGCCTTTCAAGGAATTTTTTTTGGTGGGGGTGGGGGCGGACAGGATTTCACAGAGCCCAGGGTATCCTGGAACTAGTTATATAGTCAAGAACAACATTGAATTCTTTTTGTTGTTTTTTGGTTTTGTTTTTTCAAGACATGGTTTCTCTGTGTAGCGTTGGAACCTGTCCTGGAATTTGCTCTGCAGACCAGGCTGGCCTGGAACTCACAGAGATCCGCCTGCCTGTGCCTCCCAAGTGCTGGGACTAAAGGTGTGCGCCAGCACTGCCTGCACAACACTGAATTCTTGATCCTCCTGCCTCTACCTCTGAAGAGCTGGAATTACAGCCTGCACCACCAGATCACTATGCCAGGATGTCATGCTCTTTTATTTCATTCTTTCCTTTTTTTTTTTTTTCAGTTTTTTATTATTTAAGTTCCTTTCTATATTTTTGAGTCCAACATAATTTCTAATCAAAGGAAGTTGAAAACGCTAATGAAAAAAAAAAAGCTTCTGCTTTTGCTGTGTTTTATCCTACAGTACAGCCATAGAAAAATACTTGTGATTTGAATAAAAAAAAAAAAACACATCTGTACCTGGTTTTGTTGGGCACTATTTGTTTACACTGTAAAAATGTGTCTCTGCCTAAGGTGCCTTCTGATTGGTTTAACAAAGAGCTAAATGGTCAATAGCTAGGCAGGAGAGACTAGGTGGGGCTTACAGGCAGAGAGAGAGACACCAGGAGGGATATAGATATGCTATTTCACCAGCAGACTTAGAGCAAGTGTGGTGTGCTGTAGAAAGAAGTAGCTGAGCCACGTGGTAGGACATAGACTAAAATATGTGTGTGTGTGTGTGTGTGTATGGATTAAGTTATAAGAACTAGTTGGGAAAAGGCCTAAGCTAAGACCTCGCTTTCATAATTAATAATAAATCTCCAGGTCATTATTCGGGAGCTGTCAGTCCAAAGGTAGCCTGAGAAAGCTTGCTACACATGGGTGTGTGCTTCTGCAACCCTAGCACCTGGGAGATGGAGGCAGGAGGATCATGAACTGGAGGCCAGCCTGAGCTTCACAGTACTGACATTACAAATGTGCAGCACATCTGATCCTGCTGGAGTAAGTGCTCAGTGTGTGCAAGGACAAATAAACCCAGAGAACAATGGCAATAAGAGTGTTGTAAAACTGTATCCTCTAAGCAGAGCACTGGGAAATGAGCAAGCAGAGCACGGGGACATGAGTAAACAGAGCACGGGGACATGAGTAAGTAGAGCAAGGGGACATGAGTAAACAGAGCACGGGGACATGAGTGGAAGCAACTGGATTTGAAAGGCAGGTTGTTGGGTGATAGGTGGGAAAATATCTTTATAGATTTATATATATATATCACTTTATATTATAGACTATAGCTCAAAACCCTTCTTGGTGAGTATGGTAGTTTACTGGGCTTTCAGGGCCTTTGTTCTGGTTTCGTTAGCATGGGACTTGAGAACCTTTGACCTGGGAAGGGGGGTGGGAGGGACAGGAGGAGAGGAGTAAGGGGAAACTGTGGTCGGCATGTAAAATAAATGGAAAAAAAAGTTAAAAAGTAAAAGAAACAAAAACAAAAAACCTTTCACCCTTGGGCTCCTGTTGTGGTGGGTGACTTTTGTAACTGTAGCACCTGAGAGGCTGAAGCCAGAGGATTGCTGTGATTTTAAGGGTAGCCTGGGATACCGAGTTGAGACTCTGTTTCAGTCCTGCAGGTGTAACCCCAAACTAACAAAACCAAACATAACCATCAAGCAACATTGTTCTCCCAGGGTCCCTTGGGAAAATTTAGTTTCACTTGAAGGCTCCTGTGAACGAAAAGCGGTCTCAGAAAATCCAAGGCATTGTCCTGGTGTTGAACGCTCGCCTTCAGCCTGTTGTACAGGTCAAGGCTGAGCGGCTTCTACTCTCTGCCAACTGTTTCTCAAACACAAACTTTCCCGATGGAATCCAAAGTCAGACGGCAGTAGATGGAAGCTGATTCACGACACAGTACGAGGAACACTAGGAAAGGCTGGGATAGAACATGTTCCAGACAACAGGAGCCGCAGGTAGCTGGTGACCTCAATATGGAATGGGTCCCAGTACCACAGATTTTCATGCACCCCCCTCCTCCAAAAGTCAGGGATCTAGGGAGCCTGGCTCCCTCCCTCTGTCCCTTCTTTCTCTCTCTCTCTTTCCTCTGTTTATTTATTCTGTAGCCCAGGCTAGACTAAAGTTCGCAGTAACCCTCCGGCCTCACACAGCCTCCTCAGTGCTGGAATTATAGACATGAGCCACCATGCCCAGTTTGGCAGTGATTTTTAACTTTTTCACAGAACTCTTTTTTTTTTTTCTATTGTTCCTCTGGACAGGATCTCCTGTAGCACAGGCTGACCTCCAGTGTAGCTGAGGATGTTCTTGAACCCCGGGTCCTCTTGCTTGTACCTGCAGAGTTCTGAGACTCCCAGTGAGCACCACTGTCCCCTAACTATGCTTTTGCCCTCCCCTCCCCCACCTCATTTTTCTTTTGGATAGCATTTCCCAGACTTTTGTTTTACCAGTCAGTTTCTTTATGTAGCCTTGGCTGTCCCAGAGCCTGCAACTCACAAAGATCTACCTGTCTCTGTCTCCTGAGTGCTGGGACTAACGGCGTACGCCACCACCACCAGGCTTCCCAGACTTATTTTATAGGCTTATTTTTATTTTATGTGTATGAGCAGTGATTCTCAACCTGTGGGTTGAATGACCCTTTCACAGGATGGCTATTAGAAAACACATATTTCCCATGGTCTAAGGAACTGAGACATGGCTCCTCTATCCTTCTCCAGGTAGTCCATCCACACACTGACATACCCATATAGAACCAGCTCTATATTAAAGCATTAGGAGGTTGAGAACCACTGCTCTAAAGGGCAGCTTAAAGGGGAACAGCTCAGAGTCACACCTACCACTAAATCTTGATATGCCACTAAGTTCCTGTGCTCGTAATAGGAAAAGCATAGCAACACTTGGGAGACAGAGGCAGGAAGATCTCTGTGATTTCAAGGCCAGCCTGGTCTACAGAGCAAGTTCCAGGACAGGCTCCAAAGCTACACAGGGAAATTTGTCTGAAAAAAGAAAAAGAAAAAAAGAAAAAAAAAAAAGGAAGGAAAAGCATAATCTGTCAGGTATTTAAGGTAAGTCTGGATAATAGCTATTTGAAAAGAACAGCTCTGGTACACTTGAGAGATAACTCTGGCAATGCCTTTGTTGTATAAATCTCCCATCTGCCCAAGTGGCCAGACTTGAAGTCTCTTATCTCTGTTTAAATTACTCAAAGTGTAACCTTGGATGGGGACCTGAAAGAGATTTGAGAATGACAACATATGTGACATGCTTAAGACTAAGATGTGGATATTACTGAACCCTTCTATTTGATGCTCCTATTTGAGCATTAGCCACAGCTGAATGAGTGTTATTAAAAATTAAAACTTTATGTACTTTGATTTTTGGAGACAGGATTTCTCTGTGTAGTGCTGGCTGTCCTGGAACTAGCTCTACAGAGAGGGCTGCCTCTATAAGGCAGGAATTTTAGTTTCCATTCAGAAAGTTATTTTTTAAAATAGTATGGAGCCATGTGCTCTTGGCACACCACTAATCTCAGCACTTGGGAGTTCAAAGCCAGCCTTGTCTACAGAGCAGAGCTTATTCTAGGACAGCCAAAGCTACACAAAGAAACCCTGTCTCAAAATCAGGGAGAGGGGCTGGAGAAATGGCTTAGAGATTAAGAGCACTGACTGTTCTTCCAGAGGTCCTGAGTTAATTCCCAGCACCCACATGGTGGCTCACAATATCTGTAATGAGATCTTTGTGCTCTCTTCTGGTTATACATAATACATTCATAAATCTTTAAAAAAAAAAAAACAGGGAGCGGGGAGAGAGGGAGGAGAGAAGGCAGGACAGGGTTCTTAAAAAGGCAGGGCAAATTTTGAGTCATTTTCTTCTTCATCTGTGTAGGTCCCAGGGATTGACCTCAGGTCATCAGACATGGCAGGAAGCACTTTCATTCACTGAACTCTTTGTCACCCCAGGGCAGGATTATTGAACAGGAACAATAGAATAGAGCTGTTGATGAACTGGGGAAGGCAGTAATGTCTTTATTAAGGATGTAGTGTCTCAGGAGGGCCTGTACTTTAGTGATAATTGGGATGAAATGCTCATCTTGGTTTTGTGGTGTTGGGGATTGAACATTGGGGAGTAATCACTTATTAAATAGCACTTGTGCTGAGTTATAACCTCAGTTCCTGTGATTCGCTTTTAATAGAATTACTCTAGTACAAGGTGACTGTCACATTTCATGGGTTTTTTTGCTCCCAAACTCTGTTCATGGGTACATGTTCCTTGGCTGGCCTGGAATTCACTATGTAGACCAGGCTAGCCTGGAACTCAGAGAAATTTGCCTGCCTCTGCCTCCAGAGAGCTGAGATTAAAGATACCAAAACAGGTTTGGCTAGTTTATACAGTCCAATGCCACCTTCCAAGGGAATGGCATTATCCATAGTGGGCCAGGTTCTTCCTACTCAGTTAGCAAGACAATCCCCCACTGCCTTGGTGTGACAATTCTTTTTGTGTGTGTGTGATACTCTTTCTTACATGTATCAAAACGCATACAACAATGAGTTGTGGGTTGCAAAAGAGGATTTATTTTTGCACCTGTCTTTAAGTCTGTGTCCACCAGGTAAACAAAAACCCATACAAGTGCTACAGTGTGACAATCTTTTATTTATTGATTGATTTTTCAAATGACAATCTTATCTAGGGAACTGCTCAACTAAGGCTTTCCTTCTAGATGACTCTGGGCTGTACCAAATTGAAAGTTAAATCTAACTAGGGGACTGGAGGGACAGCACAGTGGTTAAGAGTGTGTACTGTGCTTCCAGATGACCCGCCTTTCTTTTCCAGCACCCACAGTAGATGGCTTACGACTGCCTACACTAATTGCAGCTTCAGGGGATCCAACACTCTTCTTCTGGCCCCTGGAGTTACCAGAATACACATGACATATATACATACTCATAATTTTAGAAAAAAAGATATATTTATTACTTATAGTGTTCTGCCTGTATGTCTGCCTGCACTCCAGAAGAGGGCACCAGATCTTCATTATAGATGGTTGTGAGCCAGCGTGTGCTTGCTGGGAATTGAACTCAGACCTCTGAAAAAGAAGCTTCTGAGCTGCCTCTCCAGTCCCTACATACAATTTCTAAAAAAAAAAAAAACCGATAACTTGGACATTATTAGAATCTCTTTTCTAAAATGGGGACTTTAACACCCATGTTAAAGAGCTGCTGGGAAGAACAGGAAACTCAGCAACTGCTGAATATGGCCTATTGCTATTGTTGGCACAGGGTCTCACAAGCCCCAGGCTGGTCCTGAACTCACGAAGAATGGCCTCAAACTTTAGACATGTAATTCCCAAGTGCTGGGATTACAGCATGTGCTACCTACCACACACCCAATTATTGCAGGCTCTATGGCTTCAATCCATGGCATCAGGAATGTTAGACAAGCACTATCAACTGAGCTATATCTCCAGTCCCCACAATACCTTACTGTAATGTACATTAAAACCTTCAGCCTGATGCCAGGTAGTAGTGGTGGTGGTGGCGGCACATGCCTTTGATCCTAGCACTCTGGAGGCAGGGGCAGGCAGATATTTGAGTTCAAGGCCAGCCTGGTCTTCAGAGGGACTTCCAGAACAGCCAGGACTACACAGAGAAACCCTGTCTTTAAAAACAAAAACCTTCAGCCTGAAGTGGTGATGCATATGTATGTATGTATGTATGTTTGTTTGTTTGTTTGTTTGTTTGTTTTGTTTTTCCAGACAGGGTTTCTCTGTATTGTTTTAGACCCTGTCCTGGAACTCACTCTATAGACCAGGCTGGACTCCAACTCACAGAAATCCTCCTGCCTCTGCCTCTAGAGTGCTGGGACTGAAGGCATGCACCACCAATGCCCAGCGGTGATGCATATATTTAATTTCAGCACTCAGGAGGCAGAGACAGACAGTAATTATGAGTTTCTGGCCAGCCTGGTTTACATAGCAAGTTCCAGGACAGCCAAGGCTACATAGAGAGACCCTGAATCAGTCAATCCCCAAAATACCACCCCCCAAAACAAAACAAAAAACAAAGTCCAGAGATGACATATGGGTAGAATTCTTTCTTATAAAATATCCTACCTTGGTTATCCCCAGTTCACTGTTTGTGGTGTATATGTACATGCAGGTGTGTGCACATGCATGACCATGAGCATGAGTATGTATGTACATAGAGAGGCAATTATCCAATATCAGGTATGGTTCTTCAGGACACCTCCATCTTCTTTTTTTTTTTTTTAATGCAGTGTTGCTCATTGGCCTGGAACACAGAAGGTAGCTTATGCTAGCTGGCCAGTGAGTCCCAGAAATCTGCCTCTACCTCCCAAATGCTGGGATTATAAGTGTGGGCCACTACACCAGCTTTCCAAAATCATGGCTTTTAAAGACCAGACTTTTGTTGCAATCACTTTAGCAAACAAGCTAATCTCCCCAGCCCTGTGATCTTTTCTTTACACTTTAGAGCCCAAGTACTTGCAAACTAGAAATCAGTTACCACCATGATAACTGGGGGGGAGGGGATGGGAATGGGGAGGGAGAAAAACCCAAAAGAGTTAAAATGCATTCTTGCTGTTCTCTTTTAATTGAAAACCCTAAAAAGGCATACCCACTTGGGAACTACTTACTTAATAGCTATTAGTGAGGAAAAGATTGAAGTGGTAAACTTAAAAACTGTCAAAAGAAAAGACCTGCAGACTAACGTGGAGGAACTCAGTTACAGCTGAAAATACTTTCAACAGGTCTTTCGGGTTTCCTGTAGAAAATAAGAAAGAAACAAGAATCAATTATCCTCCCGAGTCTTACCAAGAGCACTAGAACTTATTAGTTCTCCCCTTTGAGATGATGAGGTGTCACTCTAGCCCACGGTGGTCCGAAACTCACACTAAAGCCCAGGCTGGACTCCAACTTCCTGAGTGCAAGGATAACAGATCAGAGCCACTAGTGGGCTTTTGTTAATTTTTTTTTTTAAGACAGGATCTCAAGTAGCCCAGGCTGGCCTCAAACTATGTAACCAAGGATAACCATAAACTTTTGATTCTCCGAACATTATTGGAATGGGTCCCCTGTACACAGTGCTGGTGATTGATCCTGGAGTATTATGCACACTAAGTGAACACCATCAACTGAGCTCATTCTACGACTTCCCTTTTCTGTAGTTCAGGCTGGCCTCAAACTGACTATGTAGCCAATGATCTTGAACTTTTTATCTTTTTCACTTTAAAAGTGTTTGTGTTTGCCCAAATATGTCTGTGTATGGCGTGCATGCAATGTCCTCAGGGGCCAGAAGAGGGTGTTGGATCCACTCATACTGGAGCTACAGATGTTATATGGCACCTGAGGTAGGGGACGGAACAAATTCTGGGTCTGCTCTAAGGGCAGTGAGTGCTTTAACTGCTGAGACATCTCCAGGCCCTCACTTTGAACTTCTGACTCCCTCTTCACTCTCCTAAGAGGCGGACAGGTGTGCACCATCATACCTAGTTTTTGTCTCCTGTTTTGTTCCTTTTGTCTTGTTTTTTGTCAACTTGACACAAACTGGGATTATCTTCGAAGACAGAGATATCAGATCGGCATGCAGCTAAGTCTGTGGGGGCATTTTCTCATGAGTTGGGAGAGCCCAGCCCACCGTGGGCAGCATCAAGTGGGGCAGGCGAACATGAACTTCTATGGCCTGTGCTTCAGCTCCTTCCTCTGGGTCCCTGCCCTGACTCCCTCTCATGGGGGATTGTGAGCTTTACAATGAAATAAGCCCTTTCCTGCACAAGTTGCTTTTGGTCGTGGTGTTTATCACAGCAACAGAAAACAAACAAGGAGGGACTGTTTTGTTTTGAGACAGTGCCTCACACTGAATCCATGGTTGGCCTCAAGCTTAAGCAGTACTATGTCTGCCTCAGCCTCCCGGGCACTGAAATGGATCACAGCTGTAAACCACCCCGCTGGGATTTATGTCTTGAGACACATTCTGGCATTTCTGACCTAGGCCTTTCTCACCTAATTGCAAATGTACAGAGTGTAGACTTCCGCTAGCAGCCAGGAAACCCCTTGCAAGCAGGCGAGTCCAGTTAGGACTAATGCTAGGAAGTCTTTGAAGGGTGTGAGAGGTGAACATGGTGGCACCACAGACCTGTAAGCTCAAGACTAGAGGGGTTGAGGATTGCCACAAATACCATGACACCCTGGGCTACCCTGGGCCTTATCAATAAAACAAAACAACACTGCAGGGAATCAGGGTCCATGCTTGAAATTTCAGCAGCTAGAGGATGAGGAGTTCGAGGCCAGTTTAGGTTATATGAGACCGTATCAAAAAATAAAAAAAGGTCGGGCACACGCTTTTAATTCCAGCACTCGGGAGAGGGAGAAAGGCGGATCTCTGTGAGTTCATAGGCAGCCTGGTCTACAGAGTGAGTTCCAGGGCAGCCAAGGCTACACAGAGAAACCTTGTATCGAAAAAACAGAAAATAAAAATAAAAAATAAGGAAGGGAGGGAGGGAGAAAGGAAGGAAAAAAGGAAGGAAGGAAGGAAGGAAAAGAAAAAGGAGCTAGGCATTGTGGCACGTGTCTTAATATTCCAGCTATTGGAAGCTGGAGACAGGATGATCTGGAGTTCAAGGTAATCCTCTGCTACATAGTGAGTTCGAGACCAGACTGACATAGGAGCTATTCTATTTCCTACCCGCTACCAACAGGCTCTGCCTGCTCATACCCTCTCAGGCGAGGCGTGTGCGCGGCCGCGGTTGCAGCTGGCGCTGGCGCCGCTTACGCTGCGCGTTGATCAGTATTTGTGCCACCTTGCGCTCGTGGCCGCCGGGCACCGGATAGTTGGTGCGCAGCTGCTGCTCGCGCCGCGTCCGGCCCTTGCTGCGGCCAGCTCCGGATGCCGGGAAGTCACGCAGATAGTAGTAGTCCAGGCTGTCGTACAGCTCGTCGTCGAAGCCCGCAGTGGGCAGCGTCTCCGGCGGCGGCGGGCGGGCTCGAGCCCGTGGGCGGGTGACAGGAGGACGAGCTGGCGGGTCCATCGCGCCGCTGCGCTCCGCCCGCCGCCGCCGCCGCAGGCTACTCCCGTCGAAGGGCCCCACCCAGGGCTCCTATTGGCTCCTATTGGCAAACCCTCTGTGACTTCACTACTGGGCAAGGGAATTATGAGTGTTCCTGTGGGGCAGCATTGTTAACAACTATAAACCTTGTGGTTCCGTTGGTCAAAAACTTGAAGGGATGAGACAAGAGAAAGTGTCTCAATGGGTAGAGTGCTTACCTAGCATGCACGAAACCCTGGGTTCCACCCCCAACCCTGTATAAATCAGGTGTGGGTGGTGCACACCTGTAATGCCAGCACAGGGATAAAAAACGGAGTCCCTTTTGGCTCAATCTATTGGCAAGCCCAGCTTGGGTTCATTTTTGGGAAAGAAAAAGGCTCAAGGAATTTGCTCGTGTGTTTGTGTGACATGATGATCCTCTTCAACATTAATTTTTCATTGCTATCACCAAATTCTTGGCGAGAATCAGTTAGAAGAGGGTGTATTTTGGCTCACAGTTTGAGAGTACATACAATCAGATGGGAAGGCACGGTGCGCAGGATCGAGGCTACTTGCTCATATTTGCATTCAATCGGCAAGCAAAGAAAGGGGTGTTCAAGCGCCTTGCTTTTTTTTGTCCCCTCCATTTTTATACAAGTCCCCAGCTCACTGGATGGTACTGCCTACATCAGGGTGAGTTGTCCCTCAATCTACAGTCTCTGGAAACTTCCTCAAAGGATACAACCAAAAGCATGCCTTGTAAATTGAGAAGACATCCTGACTAACCATCCTAAGTAGTGTCTTAAAACCGAGGGGGGGATAGAGTTCTTTAGTGGTTAAGGCTGCTCTTCTAGAGGATCTGGGTTCTATTCCCAGCACTCACATGGTAACAACTCACAACTATCTGTATGTAACTCCAGTCCCAGAGGAACTGAAGCCCTCTTCTGTCCTCCTTGGACATCCGTACATACAGGCAAAACATTCATACAAATAATAAATTTTAAAATTGTGTGTGTGTGTGTGTGTGTGTGTGTGTGTGTGTGTGTGTGTACATGTGGATGTCAGAGGGCAGTTTTTGGAAGTCTGTTCTCTCCTCCCACCCTGTGGACCCTGTAGGTTGAACTCAAATTATCAGGCTTGGTAGCAAGTATCTTTACTTGATGAACTATCGGAATGGCCACAACATAATAATTTTAAAGAAAAACAATTATTAGTAGATATTATCCATAAACTCAGGTATTGGACTTAATACAGAAAGCATTTAGGCAGCCGGGCAGTGGTGGTGCATGCCTTTAGTCCCAGCACTCAGGAGGCAGAGGCAGGCAGATCTCTGTGAGTTCGAAGCCAGCCTGGTCTACAATGCTACACAGAGAAACCCTGTCTTAAAAGCATTTGGGGGATTAATCCCAGGGTCTCAAACCCACTAAGCATTGTCACTTTGCTAGTACTCAGGTCAATGAAAATAAACTGCAGTCCTAACACTTAGGAAGTGAAAGCAAGAACAGACAGGTCTCTGTGAGTTCAAAGCCTGCTCCAGGCCAGCAAGGGCTACATAATGAGACCACATCTCAAAAACTGGTATGGTGTGGTGGCCCGTGACTGTAACCCTAGCTCTCAAGTGGCCTACAATGTGTGACCTTGTTTAAAAAACCAAACAATCCTCCACGCATAGACTTAAATGCCAAGAATGCTGAAAGAGTGAAAACAGGGACATGGGGTTAAAGAGCCTGGTGATGGTGTCACACGCCTTTAATCTCAGCACTCAGGAGGGAGAGGCAGGTGGATTGCTGTTGAGTTTGAAGCCAGTCTGGTCTACAGAGTGAGTTCTAGGACAGCCAGGGCTACACAATGAAACACTGTCTCAAAACAAAACAAAAAAGTTAAATTAAGACCAAAGTGTGAGGATCCGCGAGGTCCATGACAGCCAGGGCTGTCTGAAACACCCAGTAACATGACACATACCTGCAATCCCAACACTTAGGAAGCAAGCAAGGGGCAAGAGAATAGAGTACAAGGTCATCATCTTTGGCTACCTATTCGTTAAAGAAATAGGTCTGGGGAGATGGCTCAGTGGATAAGAGCATTTATTGCTCAAGCATGGAGACTTGGGTTTGGGTTCCCAGCATGCACATAAAAAGCCAGGTGTGGCTGCAGAGACCTTTCCCCTCATCCCTGTAGAGAACCAAGAGAGACAAGCACAAGAGGCTCACTGGGGCTTGCTGGCCAGCCAGCCTAGCCAAAACAGGGCAGGTTCAGTGAGAGACCCTATCCAAAGGGAAGAGGCAAATAGATAACACTCAACATCCTCCATCACTGTATGTGTGAACAAATGGGGTATAAAAACGTTCATGCATGTGTTTGAACACACATATACAGAACCAAGCAAAAACAAACTAAAACTAGCTGTTCAAGGGCTAGCTAGATGACTCAATGGATAGAAGCACTTCTACACAGATCTGATGATCACAGTTCCATCTCCAGATCCCACAAGGTGGTAGGATGGACACACACACATACACACACACACACACACACACACACACACACACACACACACACACTATCTCACTCATTTAATATGAGTGGTAGTTTGTTTTCAATGTCATCTTCCCCTGTAGGCTCCTGTATGTGAATAGTTGGCAACAATGCTTTAGAGGTTTAGGAGGTGTGGCCTTGTTGGATAAACTGTATCACTAGTAATGATTTGTTTTTTCAAGATGGGGCCTCTCTGGGTAGCCTTGGCTATCCTGGAACTCACTCTTGTTGACCAAGCTAGCCTCTAGATCTGCCTGCCTCTGACTCTCAAGTGATGGGATTAAAGGCATGTGCCACCACCACCTGGAATAGAAGTGGTTTTATAAAAATTATTTTGTTTGAGACAGGGTCTCACCATGTAACCCTGAAAGGTCTGGAACTCCGTAAGGCATGTGTCATCACGTCTAGCACTGAAGATGGCCTTGAATTGTGTCATTTCCCAGTTTACCATTGCTGCTTCCTGCTTACAGTAAAGGGTGTGAGCTCTAGGTGTCCTGCTCCAGCCACTCTACCCTCTGTGCGGAACCCTCTGGAACCATAAGCCCAAATAAACTCTTCTATAAGTTGCCTTGATCATAGTGTTTTATCAAAGCAACAGACAAGTAACTAATCTAGACAGGTTCTCACCATATGGCTCTGGCCAGTCTTGAACTCACAGAGGCCTTCCAAGTGCTGGGATTAAAGTTGTGGAATGCCACACCTGGCCCAAATCTAAGAGTAAACAATTTTTCAAAGTCAGTTATTTAGATAATAGTGTGTTTACATCTCCTGATGGGATGTAAGTTATACAAGTTTTCTCCTGACCCAAGAAATAATCAGTATGATATTCTGCCTACTTTTTGTCAACATAATACAAGCTAGAATTATCTGGGAAGAGGAAAACCAATTGTGAAAATGCTTCCATCAAATTGCCTGTAATAAAGTCTGTTGGGCATTTTTTTTTTAATTTAAAAAATAAGATTTAGTTATTTGTGTGTATCAGTGTTTTGACTGCATGAGTGTATCTGGACCACATGCATGCTGATGCCTGAGGATGGTCAGAAGAGGACATCAGATCACCTGAAACTGTTAATTATGGATCAGATCTTCTCAACCTTCCTAATGCTGTATCCCTTTAACACAGTTCATGTTGTGGTGACCCCCTCCCAACCATAAAATTAATTCCTTGCTACTTTATAACTATAATCTTACTACTGTTCTAAATTGTAATATAAACATCTGATTATGTAGGATGTATTTTCATTGTTACAAGCGATCATTAAAGCATTATGTATATATTGTGAAATATTTATTTCTAATTATAAATAAAACTTTGTCTTAAGCATGGTGTTGCATGGGTAACAGTCTTAATATAACAACAGTAGCTGGGTGGTGGTGGCAGCAAAGGCCTTTAATCCCAGCACTCAGGAGGTAGAGATAGGTGAATCTCTATGAGTTCGAGGCCAGCATGGTCTACAATGCAAGTTTCTGGACAACCAGGGCTATACAGACAAACCTTGTATCAATAACAACAACAAAATACAAAACAAACAAACAAAATCCACAAGAATTTGCTACATTTTACACATACAGTATCTATAAAAAGCCAATGTCAGCTGGGCATAAGTGGCTCACACCTTTAATCCCAGCACTCCAGAGGCAGAGGCAGGCGGATCTCTGTGAGTTCAGGCCAGCCTGGTCTACACAGCGAGTTCCAGGACAATGTCCAAAGCAATACAGAGAAACCCTGTCTCAAAACAACTAACAAACAAAGAGCCAATGTCAGTGTGAAGGTTGGGATTGCTTCTTTCTTACTAGATCAGAAATTCTTGGGGTAGTCTTTGCTAGAGCACAACGAAGATCATTTTCCACAGCAAGTCTGCGTCTGTATTTAGACTTGACAACCAACAAGCTGGAAAACCCCTTTTCACAAAGATGTGTTGTTGGAAATGGAAGAAGGAGGCGCAACACAGTCTCAGACAGAACAGGGTATGACTGCAAACACTTGATCCAGAATTTTGTAACTGGCAGTGTAGAGAAATCAGATCTCGCTGCATCACTGTTGACAAGTCCAATGAACTCCTCTTGAGCCGGCTCAGGAACATCTTCCACTTTGACTGTGAATGGGCTTCTGGCAAGGGAAAATGGGATGTCAGGCAGATTTGGAAAATACCATGAAATTTCTTGTGCAAGCATGTCCAAGTGTTCTTTCATAGACATTATCACTGAAATCCTTTTGGAGGGTTTAATGTCATGTTCTTCAAAGAAAGCAGTTAAGGTAGGCAACATGTGTATTTTATTTTCATCCAATTCTTTTTGCCAAAGCTGGAGTTTCATTTGGAATGACTGGATCTTTTCTGACAAATCGAGGCATGTTGCATTTGGCCCTTGCAGTGATAAATTTAACTCATGCAAGATGGCAAAGATATCCACCAAATAAGCCATTTTTTGCAATTCACTCTCATCAGTGAAAAGTGCTTCCAACTGTGGTCTTCCTTTCTGACTAAAACACATTCTGAGTTCATCACGAAGCTCAAAAACACTTT